GCGTGTACATTCGTGGAATACATGGATGGACAACGTCATAATACATAAAATACACAAACAACCAAAAAACGTTTACGCTTAAGCGTAAAAACCATTTGATTTGTAAAAATCCACTATGTTATACAATAGCAACAAATTTATTTTACAAGTTCACGGTTATATCTGGAAAATTTGTTGATGATACGATTTTAACCGAATTTTTTTAAGGTTAATAATATTTGCAATATAATTCAATTCTCTTAAATCCGCTTCTGATTCATTCAAGTATTCCGACCGTAGTGGGAGAGAACAAAACGTATTTACCGAACAAAGAACACAATGAGAACTAAACAACAGCAACGAATGGACTCACATCAACAGTGACGTACTAAGCCAACAATTCGTTTGTGGCAAAGTAGAGGTCCAAAACAAAAGCCGTCAAAAAACAAGTAGTTAATTGGCATTCCAGAGAAACCCATTAATGTTGGCTGATAATATTGCATGCAAGAGAAAAATGTGGTGTATATGTCATGAAAGATTTTTTTTATTTTGAACTTAAGTTTATCCATGAAAAGCTAAACCACTACAGTTGTGGACGAAATGTTGAAGATTGAATGGTATTGTTTATAATCAGGACTACATACTGAAAGTAAAATTGAATAAAATACACTTATGTCATATTTTGGAATATTTTTCATATAACAAGGACAAAATTCAATTTAAAGTACAAAATATGATTAAAGGATTAAAAACAATAAATGATATTTCCTGCCTTCCTTCACTTATGTTAGTTGCTGTTGAAATCATATATAAGTACCTCCATGTATACGAAGTAGGTATAATTAAATTTTAATTTATAATAATCTACCTACATTTCGTGTTGCGTGGGATTAGTCATTTGTGTGTATGTGACCCACATACCTTGCCAATCTACCAATCCAAAAAGGGCTAAATTGGCAAATAGAATAAGGACGAAGTCGAAAATTTATTGGTCATTACAAATTCAAATATTGTAAGGTTTTAATGAAAAACGGAACACGATACTAATTAACCGTTATATATTTCGTAATAGTAAGGGTAATTCACGTATGTGTTTTTATATGCTAATCCCAACGTCAACTATACCACATTTCATAACGAATATTTATGGATCTAAGCCGTAAGTACACGAAGTATAGCCTTGGCATCGCTCGTCTATACTTCGTGTACTTACGGACATGTAATATCCTAAGCAATTCCCAGCTTTTTTGCATAAATTTAAAATGAAATCTCAAACTTTAGATTTACAAAACAAAATAGTTTTTTTTATTATTTTCGTTTAGGTCTCTTATATTCATGTAAATTTCAATACGAAGGTACTGAGTTCTGTAATTATTTTCTATTATCTCCTTAAAATAAATTATAACAGGTGAAACACAAAAATGGTCCGATCTCGTACTTCTTAAACAGACAACTCATGTTCGGCAGCAACTTCAGCTTTATTTTTCTTTATACAAATTTTCGCCACACCAGAAGAACAATCTTTAGCTCCACCCATTAGTAGTATAAGCAGTCCTTTGTGAGCCATAGATTTGTAGATTTTAGAAACCCATTTGTTCACTTTTTCTACGGTATCTTCAAATGTAGCCGCAAGCAAATCTTCTTGTGCAATTTTCAGATTACATATGGTTAGGGCATTTTCCAATACGATTTCCTTACATTTGCGTACTGCTTCTTTGTTCGACCCAACCTCATTAACCGCTACAACTTTGCCCGATTCGTTGGGGAAGGCTTCTTCGGCTTTTTGAAGTAAATCTTGTACAATACTTGGTAGGGGTTTACTTGTTATTATGGCCGTTCGTTTGTCTCGTTTCGAGGCATGAGCCAACATGTTGTTCCTTACAGCTTCACCACTGGCAGCCAACATTATCTCTTGCAATCTCTTCTTTTGCAATAAAATCTCATCACCATATTCCAGACTGTTTTTCAACTTCAGTTTGACCAGTTTAACACAGGAAATTGAATCTTCAGTGGAATCGTGACCGGCAACATTGGCCTGAATATTTTCCTTTAAGAACTCCAGAGCAAGTGTCTTCAACTTTGATTTTGCCCTGCCGCCTGTTATATTGAAGCAGACACTTGTGTCAATGATATAGGGATGCATCATTTTCATGGCATTCAAATCGAAATTCAGTGAATGGCCCACTAGGATGGCATCATTTGGAAGTACTTCCCGCACTTCTTTTTGCACTTGTGACAGTTTCTTTGTCACACTCCTCATCATTTCCTCTGTAATGCCAGAAAATTGAGTCAAATAATCGATGATTTTATTGTCTGGGCGCACCATCGACTCATAGACAGTTTGACAGTTTTCATCTACTATGGAAATTCGAGTCAATTCGTTTACGCCACTTGTTGTGTGACACATTTCACAATCCACACCGAAAAGTGGGCTACGATTGGTAACAGGAGCATATTTTTCACTAGTAAGTACGTATGAATTGTATTGCTTTCTAAGCTCTCCTTTCATGGGCATTGGGTAACCTTCTTCGACCATTTGCAAAGCTGATAAGAGCAGCTTAGTTCTGGGAAATTTATCCTCTGGATGGACATCGTCTGATTCTTTGTCGTCTTTAGAGTTCTCCACTGGAAATATAGATTTCAGTATCAATGTTGGATCTTTCTTCAATGCTATGGCCGCTTCCAGAGAGCCATATTTCGTTATAAGGTTATACGCTTGTACATTTGTCATTGGTACTTGCACCAATTCCTCTGCCATAAGGAAACCGTCTTCTTTTGTGTTGGGTGGCATAAGGACATCTAAGCCTATATCGAAAATATTATCGATTTTCTCAAATTTACTCTTGTTGGAGAGATAGTGGAACAGCGAAAGGCCATCGAGGCACAGGACCACAGTGTGTGATACTTGTTCTGGTTTGTCGAAAAAACACCAACGATCTGGTTTACATGGTGATTTTTTACCCAGCAAAGCTGACATTACCAAATGCTGAATATCTGTTAGGAATATTGGACGTCTTTCTGTGTCTTTATAACATAGAAGAGCCTTTTCGCCGGATTCACGCACTCTCAGATATGGAACACTTTCCAATGCGCGTTTTCTTTCACGCAGTTCCTTTTGTATTTGTTTATACTGATCTTCAGTAAGTTGTACATTTTCCATTTGTCCATTTTCATTGTCGCCGTTTTCTTGTTTTGATTTCTTAACTGCTGGCTCTTCATCACTATTTGACTTGGACTTCTTTTTGCTCTTTTTATTTGTTACCTAGAGACGAGATGAATGGGGAGTGGTTATTTCATTACTGGACATCAACAACACCAACAATCTTACCTTTGTGAAACCATCATTGTCACCCTCAGGCTGGTCATTTATCACCTCATTGTCCTTGTCTGCCTTAGCCATTGTATCGTCCTCCTTGTCCTCAACTTGTTCCTTCCTGTCTTTATCGTTCGACTTGATTAGGTTTGCCAAAGCGGCCAATTTTTGTTTCTTACGTTCTTTACGTTCCAATTGTTTGGCTGACAGTGTCTGCATAACTACAGGGCAGTGGCTAGTGCAAGGACGAACGTTATATTTTAATTTTTAATTTATGAAAGTCCAGCCGAATACGTGGAAAATACAAAACAAAACCAGCCTTAAATGTCCATGTGTTCCCACAAAAAGCGTGTTTTGACAGGGTTGTTCGCAACCAATAAAAAAAGAAAAACGTTCCACTTGCTAACGAATGGGGGAGAAGACAAATTGGCCGATAAAGACGATCTCTAAGTACTATAATGAAATATTTACGTATGAGGTGGGATGAAGACTGCAGGAGAACAGCATGTGCTAGGGATGGCGATGTTGCCATATCTAATAAAAATTTTTATTTATCGATAATATCGATAAATTGTAGCCTTTGTTCAAAAAAGGGTACGCATTTTGGGATTGTATGTATTTGGAAATATAAAGGTGATTAATAAAACATTTCAAATATCTACATGTTTCCACATTTATGAATAATGATGGTTTATATCCTTTGATGCGATTAAAACTTGTCCTCAATGAATAATGGTTTTAAGGGGGAAAACATATAAGAAGACTTCAGGCTTGGAATGTTAAGTTGGCTTCTTTAATTGTAGAAGAATGATGGAGAAGTTCGTCCAAAATCAAGTTGGCTCTAATATTCCTTTATAAATTGAACTTCATATAAGGCCAACTTAACAGTTCTGACCCCTTGTGTTTCCCTCTTCGGACCCACCATATGTATGGGTTGTTGTTGTAGCAGCCCTATTGCTTTCACACAACGGTCTGAGGATCGTAGACCCCTCAGTCGTGGAAACGATATGTATGGGTGAAATCCTTTTCTGTCATTTGTCTGACGTTAACCATTCGTCACGTGTCATTCAAAAGTGGAAACCCCGCAAAGGGAGTTTTATTACAGGGGAGGAAATCCAAATACTTTTGCGACCAGTCTGGACTGGATTTGAAATTAAAAGGAAATTCAGTACGTTTTTAGAAATCAAACAGTCGAGAGTAGGGCTATCTAAAATTTTGATATCACATATTTCCAGAAGTATTAAGATTCCACCAAAAAATTAATGTTGCATTCAGCATCGGACGGTAACATTTTGAGACATTTAAAGTGGTATTTTTGAATATGCAAAGAATATCAAAATGTCTAACTATGCTAAAAATTGCAAAGTTTGTTTTTAGCTTGGATCCCATTTTTTAAATTTGCTTTTATCTCATTTGGTCTGTTCCCGTACAGCAAGAATCTGCTACTTTTTACTACGATAACAAATTTCCCTTTATGATATCGAAGAAAATAGTAAAATCGAGTAGATTCTTGCAGTACGGGAACAGACCAATTCTAAATACCATTGGATTCCATATGTTCATGACAGCTGCGGCAACAGCTGTTATTCGTCATTGCATCTTCCCTCATTCGTCAACAACGGAGTCGAACTTGCCTCATTTTGCTCCAATCAGTGAAAAGTTCCTATGAACGAGTTCGTTCCGTAACAGTATATAGCTCCAGTCCACAATGTTAAATACCTTAAATACCCGCCTAGTTCGTCTTATTCGTGATAAACGATTAAGTGTTCCAGTTCTGAGATGCTTCCATGATGAATTTACAAAACCTGCAATAAAACCTATCGATGCAAAGAAACAGGCCAAGAGCGGCGTTCAGGAAACTGAAGAACAATCAGTGCTTACCGGCGCCATGCGACACAAATTCAAAGAGTTTCGGGAAGAAGAATCACCGGAAATATTGGATGTTGTTGAGGAACGGGAACGCTATCAAACACAAGATGAACCCGATGATATGTACAGTGATATTTATCAGGGACTTAATTTGAAAAGTATAGAAACTTGAAACTCTGTATTATGTTTTATTAATCTTTGCCATTGTTGTTGTTGCAGGAGGTGTACATGGTGTCTTTGATGTAGAAGACTTGGTGGACGTTTTACGCAAAGAAAGCGCCGAGGATATTTTTGTATGCTCTGTACCCAAAGAACTCAAATATGTTGACCACATGGTAATCTGTAGTGGTCGTAGCTATCGTCATATGTTAGCCACAGCTGAATTTGTGAGACGAGTCTACAAAATGAAACGACAAAAAGGTGATGTCCTACCCAAAATTGAAGGAGAAAAGAGTCGAGATTGGATGGCCATGGATTTGGGTAATATAGCTTTACATATTTTCTCTCCCAAAGCCAGGGAAACATATGATCTAGAATCGCTGTGGGCAATTGGTGTAGAATACGATAGAGAATATAATAAACCTCAAGATCCGCTGGTGGAACTCTTCGAAAGACATTCAACTCTGTTAGCTGATATAAAACCTCCAAATCAGTTGTAATATTAATGTAAAATTTTTTGTTAATTTTGATTGTTTGTTTTTATTATCGCAAATTAAGGTATAGCATTTAAAAGATTACATATATTTACATACATACATACATTAATATTTCGTTCTATTTTTTTGATTGTTGAATTTTTACCACACTATACTATTATTGGCTAGTTTCTTATGGAAGTCATACAAACTGGGAAATACATAGCTAGGATCGATTTTATCTTCACCATATTTTTGCATTAAATAATCGGCATTTTTCTCATGCACCAGTGCAGCATTCCAGCCGGCCGCTTTAGCAGCCATATAATCTGTTGTGGGTCCATCACCCACATGTAAACACTGTTCAGGTTTGAGATCCTTCAGTTTAGATGCCTTTATAGCCATATCAAATATTTCCGTATTTGGTTTTTCCACTTTGCAGTCATACGAGTTGAGTGCGAATTCGAGAAAATGATCGATTTTTAAATTGCCCAATAATTTGGGCAAACGTGGATCAAAATTGGCAATTACCCCCATAACAAAAGGTTGTTCTCTATTGGAATTTTCTCGTGCACCCAATTGTTGTTGCATGCGCAAATAGTTGAGTAGATCAACACTGCCGTTGCAGTGCTGCCAACACGATGAGGTCTTATACAGTTCTAGCAAATGTTTACTGAAATTTTCTATTTTCTCTTCGGGTATACGTGCTCCACTATCGGCAAATGTGTCTGCAAAAGAAATAATTGAATTGTGTAAGTGAATCGTATATAGAAAATATATATTTAAATAAAAATGTCAGTAGTAGGGATATTAGAAATTCCGTGAAGATTGAGACTTTAATTGTAAGTGTTATAATATCCAAATATAGTCTTTTTAATTCCTAGTATATTTCCAATACATCTTCAAAATGTGATTGACTTTTTAGCACTTCTTAAACCCCGCTAGGAACTGAAAATATTATACACTATTAATTTTCGCTTTAAATGCAATTTGTAAGGTATAAGCGAACAGAGAAAGACAAACGGATAGGTTTTTTGAACTAGTTGAAGATACATGACGATCGATAGGTAGACTATAAAGCGGACCTAAGACTAATACTTCGTGGTGGTGCGAATTCTTATTCTAAAACAGAATTATAATAATAGATGTGTATGGTATACAAAATAATATATTGAAATTTTCGATGTGACTGTAATATCACTATGTAATTTTGGATTTTATGCCTAGTAATACATTTTATTTTAAAATTCCGGAATATCGGAGATTCCTATCCCTATTAGAGATTTAACAATATTTGCAATAGAGTTTCGTAACTAGACGTTTGCCATTGAAATGGGATATGTCGATCCACGTTTTGATATAGCCCCTATTTAATGGCATCGGCTCATATTCTGTATTTTGAAGGTAAGTGGGGGTCATTTGTTATTCCAGCTTTCTGGTTGGTGCAAAACGGATCTTTGGAGGATTAAACATCTCTTGGCAAAATATTTTCAATATATATGGGTCAATCTTTTAACAAAGCCTATATATTAAGATTACGATATGTTGAATGCCCAATTTCGTCCTTTTTCTTATGATGAAGCTCCTGACAGATAATTTACAATGTAGATCTGACCTATTCTGGGTTATTACCATAACATACTTACTAGCAATTAACTCTCTCCACCACTGTTGCCATTCCAACAAGGCTGAGTTTAAGGGAAATGTGGACAGAGAAAGACAAACGGATAGGTTTTTTGAACTAGTTGATACATGACGATCGGAAGACTATAAAGCGGACCTAAGACTAATACTTCGTGGTGGTGCAAATTCTTATTCCAAAACAGAATTATAATAATATAAGCGGACCTAAGACTAATACTTAGTGGTGGTGCAAATTCTTATTCCAAAACAGAATTATAATAATAGATGTGTATGGTATACAAAATAAAATATTGAAATTTTCGACGTGACTGTAATATGACTATGTAATTTTATATTTTATGCCTAGTAATACATTTTAGTTTAAAATTAGTGGTCTGTTCCCATTAATGCATGAATTTACTACTTTTTACCACGATAACGAATTTTCCTTTATGATATCGAAGAAAATAGTAAAAATGTAGATCTGACTGATTCTGGGTTATTACCATAACATACTTACTAGCAATTAACTCTCTCCACCACTGTTGCCATTCCAACAAGGCTGAGTTTCTGCCAAAATTTGGATACAGTCGATTCATCTTTTGCCTAAAATGAGAGAAAGCATTAGATACATTTTTTTTAGATGTATTGAAAATAATCTATAGCTACAAATATTGTATCATATATAAGTGAGGTTTTTAAATATATTTGATGCATAATTCTACAAGAATTTTTGAAAGTATTTGGTCTGTTCCTGTATTGAAAAAATCTATAAATGTGTACTATTTTTCCGATATCATAACGGAAAAAAATTGTACAAACTTGCAAGAAGAAAACATTGTGGTCTTCTATGCAAATACTTGCGGCGATGACTTTGTGGTATTTTATACGGAGACCTTTCTAAATAAATATCTCCTTGTCTTCTATACGATATTATTTAAAGCAAATTTTTTACTTATAAAAACGATTCAGGACGTTGTATAAGTCTAAGGGTCTTCTATATAAAGACCTTCAACGACCTACCGATATTCTTTGGGATAGTCCTCTAGTCTTCAATGCGAAGACCTTATTGCATTCTATACGAAAACGTTCTGGTCTTTTAAAGGAAGGTATTCTGGTCTACTAAAAGATGGCCTTCTTGTATTCTAAAGAAATGCATTTTTACCCTGTCTTTCCGGTATTCCATGTAAAGAACTTTTGAGGGAAGGCGAGAAAGAAATTGTAAAATATATTTTATATTAAAAATACTTTTTTCAGATCTTTTATAAACAATTGTATAAAATGCCTTCTATAAGGATATATTCGGATTGTCTAAAAATATCATATAATCTGACCTCTTTATGTACTTATCAGTTCTTTATGATTTTTAATGTTTATCTGTACCATAACGGCTGAAGATAATGTCTTTTATATTCGGTTATATATTTTTTTGACATGATCTATAAATTTTTAAATATTCTCGAAATTAATACCATAACCATTTTAAAAGTGATTGGCAGTGTAATCACTTTAAATCTATAAAGTCATTGCTATACAGTCAATATATTCCAAAATTGTCCTGTATTCATTAAAAATCATTTTATTGTAAACGGGTTCCACTGTTCTATTAAATTCATATACACATCATTTTACAAAATTGCAATTACATACCAATTGGCTTTGAAATTTTTCACTAAATCATTGTTGTCACAGCGAACACCGAATAGGGCGCCAATTTCACCATATTGTTTACCGGGACTCGAACGAAACTGTAGCAGAGTGTTTGTAACATCGAAGGTTATTAAACGTAAACGACCCAAACTTGACATATTTGTTGTTGTTATTATGGTATGCGTTTTTATTGTCAATTTAAAACGAACTAATTTCTAAAACAAAAAATGAACTTTCTTCTGTCCGTGTTGTACAAACAGACGTTCGTGTATATCCGGCTTCGTATAATAATAACGATTTTGTTTGGTTTCAATAATGTCAGCCAGCCAGCCAGCACTCGCTATCCGCCACCCTGACTATAATAACTGATTGCCATAAAATGAGTGTCAGAGTCAAAAGAATATTCAAATCTTCTCCGGTTACAATCAAATGCTGTGGAATAAAAAAAAATGGGAGAATATTGTATGTATGTACATGTATGTGTGTGTATAAATATACAAGTAGCTAACACAATGTACCCTATATCCGGGAAATTCGAATTAGCAATTGGAAAAATTATGTATTGTTGAAAGATTTAATTTCACTTTACAAATCGGGAGCTGATTTCAATTCCAAATATTAATCGAGAACAGTTATAAACATCAACATTAATTTTAGGAAACAAATTATGAACTTAAAATTAAAAATTAGTCATATATAAGATACATAATAGTCGCATCGACTCGTATATTTAATAATTATTTTGTTTACTTGTTTATTATTTGATTTGATTAGTTGTGTTCAACGCTGCTCTTCGGTGATAAGCTGACTTGGGTTGTTTTGTTCATCCATATCAGTGATAAGTACCAGCTGAGTGTAAAAACGTCATTCGGTTATTTGAATCGTTAAATCGTGCCACAACGATACTCAATCTGTTCTGCTTCTGTTTTTCGGACAGTGACCGATATTTGAGTTATTTCGGAGTTGATTGCGGATTTTTATAACAAGATATTCTATAAGAAGACTTTATGGTCTTCTATAGACATTGTAGTCTCCTATGCAAATACGGACTTGTGTTCTTCCGATCTTTTTTTAGAACAGTTGTTGCTTTCTAAAAATACCTTTTTGGAGGTCTACACAAAGAACTTCTGGTCTTCTATAGGAAAAATTCCAATTTTCCACAGTAAGACATTCTGTTTATCCACACGAAATCGAATCAATATCTTATCTTCTATAAAAAGAACTTCCGATCTTCTTCATAACCAAGTTTTGGGTTCTAACGAAGACCTTCTGTCTTCTATATGAACACAATTGGATTTTCCACAGGAAGTTCTTTCGTTAATACACAGGAATTGGAATCAAATCATCTATATAAAGACCTTCATGTCTTCTTTACAACGGCCTACTGATCATCTATATGAAGACATACTGGACTTCGACAAGAAGACTTCTGCCCTTCTTATATTCCAAAAAAGGCATTCTGGGTTTTACAACAATGTTTTCAGGTCTTCAATACGAAAACCTTAAAACATTGTTGTAAAACCCGATCTTCGTTATAACCAATTTTTGGATTCTAACGAAGATCTTCTTGTCTTCTATACGAACAAAATCGGATTTTTCAAAGGAAGTTCTTTCGTTCATACACAGGAATTGGAATCCAAATATTCTATATAAAGACCTTCATGTCTTCTTTACAACGACCTTCTGATCATCTATATAAAGACATACTGGACTTCGACAAGAAGACTTCTGACCTTCTTATATTCCAAAAAAGGCATTCTGGGTTTTACAACAATGTTTTCAGGTCTTCCATACGAAGAGCTTCTAGTCTTGCATTTGGTCTTCTATAAGAAGTGTAAGAAAATCATCTGTTCATCTAAAATAAAAAGGGATACTGATATTTTATAGGAACACCTCTTGGTCCTTCTTCAGGATGGTCTTCGTGTCTTCTATAAGAATACCATCTGGTCATCTCTAGGAATACCTTCCTGTCTCACAGACGAAGATCGTTTGATGTTTTAAACAAAGTCCTTTGATTTTCTATACGAAGCTCTACAGGTCTACAATAAGAACTTTTGGTCTTCTAGATAAGACTTTCTGTGCACATAAGACAAGTTCTGGTTTTCTATAAGAACACGTAATGTTCCTCTTTAAGAATACCTCAGTGTCTTCTATAAGATAAAATGCTAGTCTTTTAAGAAAAGATCTTCAGGCTTCCTATACTATATACTTATTGGTTTTCATTAATAAGACCTTCCCACTAACAGCAAAATCTACCAGTAGATCATCTATTCTGGTCTTCTACTATAGACTCTAAGAGAAGACATACTAGTCTTGTATTAGATAAACGTTGCTTTTATTTAAGAAAATCGTATAATGTTCTATAAGGAGATCAGAAGGCCCTACAACTTTAATTGGAGGATCTTTTGCAGTTCTATAAGGAGATCCCTTGAACTATAAGAAGACTTTTTACTTTGCTATATAGAAAAAAAATATTTAATGAATATCTCCATAATTTCATTTATACTTTATTTTTTCTATTTTGTACTTGTAAAATTCTTATAATCATGAAAAAGCCACTATTTTTTCCAAAAAAAAAAAATTAAATATTTCATTGATATCATAATTGTTTTCCTACTTCGCTCTATTTTACCACTATTTCCGCTCATGATTTCCACTCTCTCTCTGTTTGACAAAAACTTCGAAGAATAAAACCAACACCACCATTCCTTGTTCGGCTGTGTTTTGTTTTGGTATTGTCCTGCCTTCTCCTCTCGGTTGGTGGTTGTTAGTTTGACAGCCGTTTGTTTTATAATACAGGCACTACTACCTCTACATTGGTGTTATGAAATTCACATGTGTATTTTCCAAATTATTTTGATATAAATGCCAAAACCCTTCTATACTTTTGTTTTATAAAAAAATGTTTTGAAAGAAGATTTTGATCTTCTAGAGGAATTTTGGTTTTGACATTCTATTAGATTATCTGTCTATCCTTCATATTATACATCCTATTCATATTCTCTATGAAGCCTTTTTGTCATCCTCTAATAGCACCTTTTGCCTTTCAAAACAAACTTCTTGGTGATGGCCCCTTGGTTGGTTTCTTGGTTGGTGGTTGTTACTTTTGCAACCACTTGTATGTTTTTAAAGAAGACAGGTGTTCTTTTCTTTTCAAATACCACCAATATTAAAAATTTAATCACAAAAACTCCCACTGTAACATTCTCTCTAACATCTCACTTATCTGCTCTCTTTTCACAACGAAAACAAAATATAAATAAAAAAACGAAAACATAGATAAAGAATAATCCATAATATTTAATATTAAAACGATTACAACAAAATCAACGTATCTGTCGACACATGTATTCAAAATGCAAAACGGATCCAATAATGGAACTAACATTTGTTATCACACGGTTTCAGATTACATTTGACGCATGTGTGTATGTGTGTGTGGTGCAGTGTAAAGCCGTGACAAATTAACACTGGTAGTGGGTAATGGGTAAATTACTAAATTTTATGAATGTCTCTTTAAGCGTTTATAATTAAAATCTGCTGGAGACAATGTTCCATAATTGGATTTCTTGTTATTGTTGCTCCAGCTGTTGATATTTGTTTCTAAACAAAGTGGCAAATAATTTCTGGCATTATCATTGCGAACAGTGGACTTTGCAAATGCGTCACCTGTATACAATGAACTTATAGTCCAAAGATTATTTATATTTTAATGCAAGAATCAAGAAGCTGATTGACTCCAATCTGATAACCATAAATGTATATATGTAGTAGTCGACCAGCAAATACCCTCCGCGGGTACTTCTAAAAAAATGTATGGAAAAAATATATTTTTGAAGAGATGTGTCTTATCTATTAAAATTTTACAATGTGAAAGAAAGATTCGTATCGTGTATGGGAACGATTTGTAAGGAGATTATTTATCGAAAAAAAAAAAACAGTAAGTACAAGTACAAGTCAAAATATCTACAAATCTACACTCAAAAGGTCCATGGAATATGTCTTTTTTTAAAATTTACTCTCTGATGTTCCTTGAAAAATATATATTAAAAAATCAAAATTTTGAATGTTTCTTGAAAAATATTCTTAAAAAAATCAACGCCTCTCTTCGATTTTGTATGACATCTAACCACTGAAGGTTCCTGGCAAAATATATTTTTAAAAATCTAATCTCTGGAATTCCCTGGAAAGATGTCTATTTAAAAATCTATTCACAGAAGGTCTTTGGAAAGATGTATTTTTAAAAAATGTAATCTCCGAAATTCCCTGGAAAGACGCATTTTTAAAAATCTACTCTACGATGGTCCCTGCAAAGATGTTTTTTTTTTTAAAATCTACACTACAATGGCCCCTGGCAGATGTCTGTTTAGACGAAGTTTCCTGAAAGATGTATTTTTAAAAATCTACTCTCCGATGGTCCCTGGGAAGATGTTTTTTTTTTAAAAAATTTTCTCTACGATGGTTCCTGAAAAGATTATTTTTAAAAATGTATTCTACGATGGCCCCTAGAAAGATGTCTTTTTAAAAATATACTCTCCGAAGTTCCCTGGGAAGATGTCTTTTTAAAAATCTACTCTACGATGGTTCCAGGAAAGATGTCTTTTTGAAAATCTACTCTCCGAAGTTCCCTGGGAAGATGTCTTTTTTAAAAATCTGCTCTCCGAAGTTCCTTGAAAAATATATTTTGAAAAATCTACGTACTGTTGGTCTCTTTAAAAATATTCTTTAGAAAATCCAATGCTCTCTTTTGGTCACTTAAAAAATATTCTTTAAAACTCCTAGCATCTCTGTTGGTCCCTTGAGAATATCCCTTAAAAATGCAGGCCTCTCTGTTGGTACTTTGAAAATTATTCCTTAACAAAATCCTTCCTTAACAAAGCCTTTCTGTTGCCCTTTAAAGTTCATCCCTTATCAGTTGATCCACGCCCCTCTGTTGTTCCCTTGAAAAAAGATTCTTTAAAAATACACGCCCCTCTGTTGGTCCTTTGAAAGAAAGATTCTTAAAAAATCCTCGCCCCTCTGTTGGTCCCTTGAAAAAATATTCTTTAAAAATCCACGCCCCTCTGTTGGTCCCTTGAAAGAAGATATTTTATAAATCCCCGCCCCTCTGTTGGTCCCTTGAAAGAAGATATTTTATAAATCCACGCCAATTTGTTGG